TATTTGGTTTATATTTTTGATTTTGACCAGTGTATTGAATTTGCTTTTTTGATATAGATTTTTTTTAAATTATCTTGCCAAGCTCTAAGAACATGCCACCAGCACAGTAAAATTTTACTTTTTGAAAAGATATTCCAAAGAGCTTTAATTTGTGCAGGATCACAATCAACTAAAAAAGGGGGACGTCTAAAGCGGAGGCACTCATATTTCTTAATAATGTTATTGATTAACTTTAGGGTTAGGGCCATCCTATACTAGTGTTGTGATAGGTTTTAGGTAATTAAATATAAGCAAAATTGCTTTCCTGACATTTTTGATTAACCTACCCGAGGTAGGTTTAGACGGTCGTTTTTTGTATTTTTCGGGTTTTTGGATTTTATTTTTAGTTTTGCTTCACCGACGATCATCAAAATTCTATAATTTGATTGGCGGTTGATCACATGATTTGCCTCCATTTTAGACATCCTCTAAAAAAGATACTAGACCTTCCTATAACAATTGAATACAGAGACTATATAACCAAAATTGCACAGATGTAGTACTTTTACAAGAAGAAATAAGATGTGCAAGAGGTAACCCTTTTCCAGTTTTAAAATCAGGTAAGAGAAGAGTATAAAGTAGATCAATTTTTTTATTAGTACTATGTGTAGTATTAAGTAAAACTGTATTAATGTTATAAATTATTTCTTTCGTAATAGGAATTATAAAACCTAAAAGTTGTCCTTTATTCTCATTATTATTACTTTCAGATTGAGCTATAGCACAAGTTAAATCACCATTTTCTAAAAGATTGTGCTTCCATAAATTAAGACTTTTCTCTTCAATTTCATATAATATTTGATTTTCTTTAATTACTTCTTTCTATATATTATATATATTATCATTAGTAATAAAATAATCACGAATTTGAATTACTTTTAAATTGTTACATTGATTCCAAATTTTATCTAAGTCATGTGCTTGTTTCCTAAAAAATTGACCAATTGCTTTAACATCTAAACCATCACGCATTCACTATGCAATATAATTTTGAATTTGTTTTGAAAGTCTAAGTGTTCCAATATCATTGTCACTACCTGGAGTATGATTTGAATATAATGTATATTTAATAATCATTTGAGGATAATCTCCTTTAGTTTTAGTAACTATAATTGTAGATTCACTGCCAATTTTTTTTGAATCTTTTTGAATAATTCTTGCTTTTTTTATAGGATTTTGATCTGCTTGGCTTTTATATTTTCCTGAGCGATAACACTTGTAAGTGTATCGAAATTCAATATTTCCAGTATTATATTCAGTCCTTTCCTGCACATAACTTGTATGAGTATTGTAACCAAAATCATAGATCCAATTTTCAAAATCAGTATCTAATGGAACAACATATTCTGTGCCTGAAGAAATTTTACCATGCTGAACATCTTCACGTATAAATAGGGTAGCATTAGGCAGAAGAAGAGAATCAAGAATTAAATTATCTTGAAGAGTTTTCATGAAATTATTGAATACATTAAAAAAATCATCTAAACACATTTCTTCATCACTTATAAGTTCTTCTACCATTTTTATTATATTAAATAATGAATTTATATAAAATAAAAATTCACTTTAAATATTAAATTTCTTTAAAATTTTTACTTTTAACGATAATTAATAATTAAAATTAATGATCCGGATCATGATTTGTATTACGTATATCTTGTATTACGGTGGAAAATAAGTAAATCCGAGACTAGAATATTATCATTAAAGTGTGAATAAAAAATCAAATTGAAATACGTAACAAAACTGCCAGTTTTGTGATGACACAATTGTACAAACCCTATCACCACATCTTTATCCCCCAGTTACGTCCATCATAGAAAATATTTATTCTGCGCAAGGTTTATCTTCAAAATTTTTATCATCGTCCTTCTTCATTACTGTATCCTTATTACTGTAGTATAACGACTGTTTGTTATTACAGAAACCTTATCCATTAAAATTATATTGTAATTTCTATGTGCACTTTTAAATTTTAAAATGTTTACATTACATTATGCGACATTATGTTTTGCATAATGTAATACACATAACGCAGAATGCCTATCTCTAAGCATAACTGTAAAAATCGGTGTTGCATCCATTACATCACACACTTTTTTTTATAAAATCACTATGTAAAAAACTACGTAAGTTCACAGTAATTTTTTTTACAACATTTTGTACATTCTACAGACCTTCGGTAGTCTTACATATATGTAAAGCACAT